TCATTTTCATGCAAAGGATGTCTAAGAGAAAATTTGAACGACCTTCAATAACTACAAGATGGTGGATTTCATTTCATGTTTGATGACACGAAGGGCAGTACTGATAACACTTACATTTTGCAACACCTTTTTTAACATGTGATACAATGTGTTATGTGGTTTAGATCTTCCTAAGTTAACACATAAGTTACCAAATCCTCTAAATCGTTGCATCCAAATGGACACTCGATTTTAAAATAGTATTGACAACAAAATTCTCAACTATATGCAGTCCAAGGCATCAACAATTGTCTCTCAACCACATTTCAAGCATATACAAAACTGCTCGTCTCAACTCAAGGTAGCAGAACAAAGCAAGCAAATGCTGATACTGTCTAGTAGATCACCACATAATAATCTCATTTCTAAATCTATTCCATTCCATGGAGTTCTAAATTGGTTCAATTCCAATGAGTTCTTCGGTGCCCTTCTGATCTTAGAAAGTAGAAAGTCTTTTTCTTTTGACATAGAAAAAGACGGAACAAAATGCAATTGATAGTGCAACTTGGGCTATAAACTGTAGTGAAATGGAATAGGAATTAAGGAACAGGGAAAGAAGTTCACTAAGAAAATATAAGAAACTACTATCTTGATTCGATATATCTTAGGCGTAACACCTAGGGCTAGACTGCATCACAATCCTAAGCGTATGCTGCAGGAAAATTCTGTAAAGTTGATTCATATCTCAAAATAAATGGTTTCTGTAATGACCTTAAAACTCTTGAGGACTTTCTTCGAACTACTCATTTATAATAAACGATATTAAAGAGTAAAGACTACCACTTCTCAGTTTCTCCTAACATAAAAGCATAAATACTATGACTTCTAGACTGCATCAAAATAAGGACATAAAATACTGTCGTGGAAAAACAACAGCATGAACACTCCTGGATAGCACAGTGCAACTGCAGTGCATCCACATAAGTTATAACAACAGCCTAAAATCATCCAGCATAAAGTCTGGGTAAGTAGAGTCTTCTTTTTCATATCTTCGATACAGTTTTTGAAGGGTACTACCACTCATCTATATCAACATTTACATCTCTCCTTTGTTTTTTTTTAAAGTGCATGCCATTCAACAACAACACATGAATAAAATTGAAAATGTACAAAATTGAAGCCAAGTCTAATCTCAACCACACTTTGTTATCTAATAATGTGACTAGATGAAAGAGAAGACTAACAACTCAGATTACCGATTAACCGATTTCTCGCCCTCTAATTCAAAATAACTTATGTCACCAATAATGCCATATTTCAGCATTAGCATCGCAAATCCAGACCGACAACTCAAACAACCCACCATAGTCTCAGCTAAATTGCATTCTCTAGACAGACCCCTCCCAGCATTCAAAACTCCACCTGCATGCCCTTCCCAAAAACCTAACATACCATACCACCAATTCTCTCTCATTCACAACCAACAATTTTGTACCTATTCTTCTCGTCCCTTAACACCCTTGTCATCACCAAAACTCCAGTAAAGTTTCCCACGCATTTCTAAAGTAAGAGCGAAGTTTTCTAGCGGTTGCTAAACAGTTGGTTTGAAACTGGTCATCAATCGAAATTCACACAACAAAATACAGGCAGTGCCAAAATCAACTCACAATTTTCATAAAACACGTTACAAATTTAAAATTCAACTTCGTTTAACCAAAAAATACAGAGAAAAGTACAGAGCAGAGCTTACAAAACTACAAAGCGAAGCCTTTCAGGTACTCAGGGTCGCGCTTAGCTCTCTCCTGAAACTTCTTGAACCACCGATCCAAAATATCCATAGGCACCACCAGCTTAGACCCATCCACACCACAAAACGACTGCATGAAATTGAACAGATTCTCCCCAACCTTCATCGCCAATCGCTCTATTCGCTTCTCGGCGGTGACGTCGAGCGACGGCAGCGACGCCAGGTCCTCCACCGACACACCGATTTTGGCCGACAGCGGCACCGAGTCGGCAGTGAGCTGAAGCTCGCCGCCGGGCTCCGGCCACGGCAAGGCGAGCACAGCCGACGGCCGAGCCACGGTGACGGCGCCGCAGAAGAAGAAGGACGAGCCGGGGGACTGGATGTAGACGGCTAGGGCTTTGTCCGGTGGGAGGGTGAAGTTGTTTAAGAGGAAGATACACATTTCGCGGACCTGATTGTAGGCCTCCCCTGCGCACGTTAGAAAAATCATAGGTTTGAGTGATAGAGTGAGCCGAAGATAAAAAAATTGGGAAATTGGAAAAATGGACAAAAAGGAAAACAAAATACCAACGAAGGTGTTCATGTCGAGGATCCAGTGGAAGGTGTCGATTTGGGAGAAGGAGGAGATGTCCATTGGGAAGCTACGGTTCGGGAAGACGACGCCGAACATATTTTCGATTGTGATTTAAACTGTTAATTTATGTTTTTGTATTTTTTGGCTTTGTTGAGAAGAGAAGAGAAAAGACTAGAGCAGCAGCGGGGCAGAGTAGAAATGGAGAAAGGAACTCTTAATATAGAAGGTGAAATAATGGAGAGAGGAAAGCACGGTCGTGTCGTGTGGGCAGTGTGTGAGCTGAGTGAGAAGGTTTGAATTTGGTCAAGTCTTAGGAGAGAAACATCGAGTACAATCTAGAAGAGTTTTGAGGCGTTTTTTGTAATCTAAAAACTTTTCTTTTTATTCTGATGTTTTCTTTTTCTTTTTTGTGTCAAAGTAACTTACAAACTTATATGATGTACATTGTAGGCTTAAATAATAAATACAATTTCTCTACCTTTATTTATGTGTGAGGGGATCCTTAATAGATGTACGATCAATAAAATTGTTATTATTGAATAGCTAGATTGAACTAAATAAAAAAATAGCTGGATTGAACTCCTCAACACACTCCACTATTATAGAAGGCTAATTCTAGGCAAAAAAACTTACTTGTAAAAGGGATAGCACTGTTTTGCTATCCTCAACTAATAACACAATGACATGTGGAAAAGTTATCTTACGTATCATTGTGTTATTGGTCAAGGATAGCAAAACGTGCTATCTCCGTTACATGAAAGTCTTTCTCCATTCCAATGCCAAACTCCAAGGCATGTGTAGAGGTGTCAAACGGTACATACTGGCCTAGCCCGTTTAAATGGGGCACGACACGACACTAACACAAATATTAATGAGCCGTGTCAGGATCAAAAAATTAAGTCCAATGGACAAGGCCATGCTCGGCATGGCACGCCTCGTGTGTAATAATGATGATGGTTCTATCTCTCTTTATTTTATTTTATTTTCCAAAAGTTAATAATAAAGCATTATATTTGAAGAAGGGTGCTAAGCTTACCACATTATATACCATATCTTTAAAAAAGATAGAGTCCACTAATACAATAAGGCTCACCTTTATTAGAGAGGTGGTACATAATGTAGTATAAAAATTTGATAAGGCTAGCATTTTCCTTTGAAAAAAAAAAAATTACAAATCACAGAAACTTCTCTATTTATGCTTTCAATGAGTTATTTATGTACATGTTATATTGTATTGTAACTCTGAAATAAAAGGCAGTTTCAATTCTAAAAGAATGCACTTGGTGATCCACTACCAACAAAAAAAATCAGACTACATTGAGGGCTGCTATCGGCATACTCTTAAAGCATGCAACTTGCAAAAACAAGCAATTCTGTTCTGTTCTTCATGAAAGGAAGAACAGGATTGTATGAAGGCCCAAACAAAGCATCTACCACCAAGCCGCACTCAAAAACAAATTCCAAGCCGTATCTTGCCTTTCTTCGCCGCTAGAATGAAAACTTTAATACTAAAAACAAACTGTAGAGATGATCTTGGCCAATTTCAATAATATACAACAGGTTGCTAATCTCTCTCTTTGAAACTTCTGGGTGCATGAGTTGTCCCACGTCTTCACCAAAAACAATATGCACAACTCCCTTATCTGATATAGCAAATCGTTGGAACATTAAAGCATCATCATATTACACGAAATAAATTCTACCAAGAAAGAAAAAAACTTTCAAATCAACCAACAGCTTCATTTCCTCTAAAATTTGCTAGCCCAGAATGAAAAGCATTGAGACATCCAAGCAGAATAAGTCAACATCTCGAAAATCATAACGGTCATTTTTGTACAGCTACCATAGCTAATACTGATCGAGATACCAGCAAGTTCCCCACAGCTCCAGTTTTACTAAGATTGCATGGCATCCGCATGGTAGCTATCGAGTTCCTTGTCAAGTTCATCAACTGACTTATCAACGGGCTTCTTCCTCCCTGGCCCACCGCGACCACGCCCACGGCCGCTCCCACTCCCACGTGGTTGGCCGCGACCATTTCTGATCCCTCCACGACTGCTCCTGCTAAAAAACCCAGCAACATTATAATCACACATTGAAATGCTACAGCTATTACTGAAATCCAACAGCAGCACATATATCATACAATAGCTATTGCCGACTAACTCTGGACAAAAAATAGTTACTGCAGATTTGGAGAATAAATAAATAAATAAAAGATAAAATCATCAACTGGGAAGACAGTTTCTTTAATTAACTGGGAAGATAAGCATCCAATACATGTTCTTAATTTTCACTGCTGGATTGCTCTATAAGTCAATAGGTAGATGATGAAGAGATTTCAAGACTGAACACATGCACGCTGACATACTAGAGACAGCATCCACAGCTCCGGCTGATGTACACAATGCAATCAATAAAACATAGTTCAAACAGCTCAACTTTAATGCAGAGACAGCAGTGACCCAATCATTTTTTACTGAATGTGTGTTAGGTTATATTTCATCTTATCAAATCCTGCCGTTTTTGTTGCAAACTTGCAAGGTAACAGAGAAACAGCAGGCAAAAGGAACACCAGAAACAGTCTGTTAAAATATGGGATTTCAATGTGGCCTTCCTACGACTTTGGTAGTAACCCATACCAAAAGAGAAGTTAGATTAATTGCAAAATATATATTAGAAATAATTTTATAATACAATGCAAAATAACTATAATTAAGTTCCATAGAAATTAGTGGTTGAAGATAATGTCTGTTGAGCCCATCCAAAAAGAGAAACAAGAATCACCTAAAGCTCAATCAAACTGACTAACTTGGAATTTATCAACTTCCAATAGGACCCTCCCATATGATCTGAATGAGTATTTGGCATTTGTAACCAGTCTAGGACTTCTCAGTTGAAGTTCCCAAATTTGGATCTCTAGCCTATATACCAGAATTTATTATTTTTTCCTTCAACAAAATCTTTGCACAAATCACTTTCTTAATACCAATTTACAGAATCTTAAATAAATTGAGAGAGAGAAAGATAGAGACGAAGGATGCATGAAGATCAAGGAAAAATAAAGCTTTAAGAGCAAGCCAGCTTAGGTTACATTTCTAAGCTAGGCTAGGCTACTACAGTCATTATTGAGTTGTTACCGTAAATCCTGACTTCCCTCAGTCAGTAAGTCACAGCATTTATTTGTCTACATGATTCTGGTGCTATGGAGTTATAATTTGCTCTAGTAATTTCACATTTAAAAAGCCCAGTACATTTTTTTATTAAGAATAAAGGCCCTATATGGGTCTGATCTTCTCAACTCAATGGCCAAGTTCTGAGGAAGTGCAGCAGCCATAACACTTTTCTTTTCAATCGTGTTCTACTATTCAGCCTTATGATGATGCGCAGCTGAATAGTGGAACACTAGGTTATGCAATTCAGCCCAAATATGATCCCTACGGAACACTAGGTATGATGCCTAGTAATCTTCTACTGTTTGTGCAACTCAGCCTATGTGTGATGCCTAAGGAATGCTAGATTTGGTGCCTGGGAGTCTTCTTCTCCTTCATTTTCTTCATTCTCTGCATGTATAACCCGAATCCCAGCCACAAAATATTTTGATCATGCCCCCTTCAAAACCCTAATTCTTCTCATGTTCAGGCGCCAACTTTTTGTACAAGATACAAAGAAAGGAGTACAAAACAAGACAAGAAATACAAGGTCCAAGGAGCAAACCACAAGAATAAAACACCGACTGAACACACCACCATCAGGCCTAAAAAAAAAAACACAATTAAGTTTCCAGGCAACATTGAGATTCATATCCATCCTAAACAACCCCACAAACAACCCAATTGATGCAAACCATCTTTCTAACATGCAAAAGTCATTCAACAAGCATATGACACTACAGGAACTCTAGCATATAAGATTTACATCATTGAAATTAAAATAACATTGACAGTTCAAAAAGACACACTTCTGTATTAACAAGATCAACAGATAGGGACTTACCCAGAACCACGATTAACCATAGGCAAAGCATAGCCACCACCACGACCAGGTCCAGGCCTACATTAAAAGATGTGTGAGTGGAATACAAAAAATGATAAAGATATTTATTTTTTGTCATCCAAACAATACTGGCACTGCACATACAAAGAGCCTACAAATTATGGAGTATAAGAAACTGTTGTGAACTGATGACTTAGTAAGTGTGCTCTAGGAAGGCAAACAAAGGACTATGAGGAGACAAGCAACATGTTTTTTAATATGAAACATGAAGTGTTTTAAGACAAATAAAATGGCCTACACGGAACATGGAATAGCAGTTCATCAGACACCTCAAACAACAGCTATAACATGAAAACCCAGACAAAACACCTAAAACAGTCGAACCACCATAAACCAGTAAAGCCTCAGTACAAAATTGCGGTTTCTAGGGCACACCCTCCACCCAACCAAAGCCCTGTAAAAACTGATTCCAGATAAGTCAAGTGAATCTGCAATGCAAGAATAAATGGCCCACATGCTCCCCCTCCTTACACAACACACAACAATGTGAAAATGAACATGCCACAGGTCTTCTTTTCTGGAACATGTCACAGGTATTTATCCTTCTGTGAACCACCGACCAAGAAAGAATTTGCACCTTGGCTGAAATCGGGACCGACCTATTAAATCAACTTAAGCGGAGAGGAATCAATTGACTGGTGGCCAATTGAAGTATAAAAAATTCAAAATAGATATAAAAAAAACAAAGTGGAGCCAGAAGAATGGCTCTTTATCTACCCAATTTGGATGCAACGAAATATCACTTAGAAGGGAGAACAAGTATGCATATTCCGGCAATTATCCATCATTCAAGTTTCTATGAAACTGAGGAAAAGGTGCCTGCATTTAAGTTCGAGGAGAATATATGAGGAAGGAAATAGAAGTTGGAAAGATAACACCCCCACCCAAACATCTACCAACTCCCCACCCACAATTTTCAAAAAAATGAAAGATGGATAACCTAGGACTTCAGAAAGAACCTCTCCCCACAAGGAGACAACAAACATACTGATCTTATAATGGAAAGCATCACTAGTAAGTTAGACCAAGAAAAGAAAAATTGGTCGGGAAAATTCATATTTAACCCAAAGATCTAATAGAAAATAACAAACAAGAATGTTATTAGGGGTGTTCATTGGATACCAGATAACATAAATGGGAGATGAACATTGTCCACAATTCCCAAAATAAAAAAAAATATTTAGTAGAAACTGAAGCAATATGTGATTATTCAAGGCTATCTTCAACATCTACCCGTATCCTTTAACCACAAGCTGCAAGCATATTCATACATCCATATTGTAATTTAATCATTAAAAGCGTCCGTGTAAACAGGCTTATGTCCAGCAAGAAAAGACTCCAAAACTAAAAATCAATAATCTCAAGGATGAACTACGACTGTTATGGCACATAAATGGTCTTTGGGTTTATGCATAACATGATACATGCCCATAATTGCAGTGTCAGTTGCTTAATAAATATGAAAGAAATGGAGTGTGAACGGGGAAAAAAACATACGTCATTACAACAGTCCTTTTCTTCCTTCCATGCGCTCCTGTCACATTCACACGAGCCGAAATAGGCATCCCTGCATTGGCACCAACAATCTCAATCTTCATAGGTTTCCCATCCAATAGGACATTATTATACCGCTTCAATGCTGCAAATGCATCACTTCTTCTAGTATAAACCACTTCAGCAGAACCCTGTGATAAAAACAGTAAAAATCTTTCCCTCAATGAAATTGACCACCAAAGTAATGTGTCTATTGAATAGTATCAAGAAGAGCAACAGTATACATCCAATAATTCTGTGGCTAGGCCTAATGGATTACATATAACTTAGGGTCCTGGACATACCCAAATTCAACAATCCTTAATGGACTGCTCATGTCGGGAGTTAAACATAAATAAACCATTTCAAAATACACACCAAGGTCAAACAACAGAGGAAGATAAAACCTAAACTGGCTTTTTGCAGAAGGTTCGAGTCCGAAAGCCAGTTCTATACATCAAACTGCTAATGGACAACCATGGAGACAATGCCTCTTAAAAAAAAGTGTAAAATGTGCAAATAAATATAAAGAACAAATTAAAATCTTTGATTTATCCAGTTCTTTGTTGGACCTCAATCTGGATTGAAAACTTGTAAGAGAAATTTAACACATATATATGCATTATAAAATGCCTACTTGTACTTCTGAACATGGTAATTTCATAAGGATTGAACATAGTTGAATCATGCCCAGCACATTATTATGGAGTATAATATTCTCCTTATTTGGTATATCTCAGTGTAGTCACAGTCACAGGCTTTGGTGTGTAGTAAGCAGAGGGTGGTTTGTCATGAAGCACCAACCAATTTGGACAACATGCTCTTTCTGCCTTTTTGGCATATATAGTTAGATATAAACATCAGAATGTTTTGATGGGATAGTGAATTTAAGCCAGATATAATAACAAAAAATAAATCCTTTAACAATGCTTCCTTCATGATTTCATCTAGTTCCAATTCTTTGACTCATTTCTAGACTTTACAACCAATATCAGGATTTTAACTGAGGATCAGTGCCAAATAAAACCAGAACAACAAATCAGGATAGAAAATAAAATGAGGGAAAAAGTCTAGATAACAATGCTTCCTTCATGATTTCATCTAATTCCAATTCTTTAACTCATTTCTAGACTATACACAACCAGTATCAGGATTTTAACTGAGGATCAGTGCCAAATATAAGCAAAACAACAAATCCAGATAGAAAATAAAATGAGGGACAAAGTCTAGATAAGGAGGAGAAGAACTCACACTTGGACGGCCATTTTTGTCAAAATGTACCGCATATCGTTTCAGCTCTCCGATCTCAGAGAAAAGTTCCTGAGTTGCAGTTTCACGTGATGTTTCAGGGGAACGTTACAAGAAATTTGTTATAGAAAGCGCTTAAGATGAAAATAAATGGCTCAAGTTGTACCCTTATATCCTCATTTGTCACTCCATAGTCCAAGTTGGAAACATATAACTTTGTGCCAATTTCAATCCCTGATATCCCCGCAGCTCTAATGCTGTCTTCAAACAAATCAGGTTGCCATGGGAAACGCTTGGTTCGGCGGGTAGACTGATGAAAGAATGCAGAAAAAGATCCAGATGGGGAAAACAAATGTCAGCTCATGAATAGATAACAAGATAATTCGCCATTCCTCAAAGTCCCCAGAAATTAACCCAACTAACCCACAAGTACAGATAAATCTCGAAGATAATGGTACATATGCAGTGGACGACGATAGCGCTTTAGAAGATGAGCCAAAAGCCAAAATGAGCTTCTCCATGAACAACATACGTCACAGATCCTCTCGTATTTGACTTTCTAAACGTTTTAGAGATCCTCGTGTATTTTGGGTTTTAAAATCATATTCTCAAGCATATCATAAAACATCTACATTTTTTAGCTTGCCTTGGCAATGGTATACGAGGATGGCCGAGTATTCACTGGGATTGGACCTCTACGAACTGCTCCTGTCATTCTTCCACCTGGAATTCTTCCAGCTGCCATCCTTCCAGCATTAAAGGACCCACGTGGTCCACCACGGCCACGAGGGGCCCTACCCCCTCTAGTTCTCTCACGATTACCCCTGCTGTTCTTAATCATGTCATCAAGCGACATATCCAAAGCAGTAGACATCCAAACGAGAGACAAGTGAAATCCTTCTGCTAAGATGGAGATCTAGACCTGAAATTACAAAACAAAATTAAACAAAAAAATATCAACAACGATAACACCAACTCGGTTAAGATTGGCAAACAAACACTTCAAAATTACTCATATCGCTTTGTAAATCAACTTTGTCAGACTTATTTGTTTCCAAGAGCAACAATTTCATTGTTTAGAGAACGAACATATACAATACAACCCCATCTTGAAACCAAAAGAAAGATAGAAACAGTTTAATGTAAAGAAAATCAAACCAGAAAACAAGTTACAAGAACAAATAATGATTCAGATCAAAAAGCGGCCGAATCAGATCGCCAAAAACCTAAAATTAACGCGATCTTTTCGCATCGACTAGAAATCAAAGAACAGAAAGAAAGAGAACTACTTTTAATTGGCGGAAAACACCGAGTAACAACAAATCTACAAAGGATTTCAAATCAGAAGCCCTAAAAGGTGTACAGCAACAAAGAATTAGACCATAGAGAGAGCGAGAGGGGAACAGGAAAATACCAGGAGACGATTAAAGAAGCGTTCGAGGAACTGAGACAACGATCACAAAGAGACGCGTGAGAGAAAGAGAGATTTGGTGCCTGTGGAAAGTAGGGATGAGATGGGGACGCAGACGAGTGGGTTACAACGGAGAGAAAGGTTTTAGGGTTTCTGAATATAATTGAGGGTCGCTGTGGTTCGTTTCGGGGAAGGCGGTTTGGGATTTACCTTTTTTTTTTTCTTTTTCTAATTATCTTTTTTTCGATTGAAGTATTTTACTCTTTTTTTAGGAGTTAACGTTGTTACAACATTACATGTATGGGCGGTTGGGGGAGTCTTTGAGACACCAGTCAATGTTGATCTACTTTTTTTGGCCTATCAATCAGAGTTGAACTTGTTACAATAAGAGAATTCAATCTTCTAAATCTAAAAATATAATCTATATATATATATATATATAAAACAAAAAAAAATAGGATGGTGAAACATTCAAAATATAAAAAAATGTCATTGATTAATGTAAATATTAAGAATTAAAATTATTAATTAAATGAGGATAATATGGTAAATTCACAGTTTTTCATATTTAAAAAAATTAAAATTAAAACAAAAATCAGATAATGAATCTTATTTTTATCGAACACAACTATCCATTATCTTTTTTAATTATAAAATAAATTTTATTTTAATTTTAATTTTTTAAAAGCACTTCGCAGGCACGAAATCACGTATGGAGATGCTAGTATATATAAAGCAAAAGGCAAAGAATAGTAAAATATTCAAAATACCAAAAAATGTCATTGGTTAATACAAGCATTAAGAATTGAAATTATTAATTAAATGAGAATAATATGATAAATTCACACTTTGTCATATTAAAAAAATTAAAATTAAACTATATATATAAAACAAAAAGCATAGAATGGTAAAATATTCAAAATACCATAAAATGTCATTGGTTAATGAAAACATTAAGAATTGAAATTATTAATTAAATGAGATAATATGGTAATTCACACTTTTTCATATTAAAAAAATTAAAATTAAAAGAAAAATCAGATAATTGATCATATTTTTATGGAACACAACTACCCATTATCTTTTTTAATTCTGTAGGGGGTCTTTTGATTCCAACAGCTTGACGAATAGGCTTGGGTTGCCAAACAGAGAAACAGGTGAAATTACCTCATGTGCCTAAATTCAAGAATTAGGCCCCAAGAATGCTTCAAAAAGGTAGTGAAGCCTTAGGAAGCATACTGGTTATCTTCACCAACAAAAACAACAACTGCTTATAGGTAGATTCTTAGCTTGGTATGAGAAGCTTGTGGTGTGAGAGCAAAACCATCATGAGTTTAGCATAAACACAGAGAGAGCTGTGAGGTCTTATGAAAAACATGGGTTTTAAGACAAGGGGGAATGAATTCTAAGAGAGTTTGTTGAAGAGGGAGAGAGATGCGGGTATGATGGGTGTGTTGAGTAGTTTCCAGCAGCTTGACGAAAAATCTGTCAAGCTGTGAAACTTTTTAGCAGAAGAGAAAAAGGGAGAAGATGGAAGAATAGGGCACGAAATTGCAGAGTTTTGGAAGTAAGAGAGGAAGCTTGCTCTCTAGATGTGGTTTAAGTGAATTTCCAGTTACTTGACAAAACTTGATCGCACTCTGGATGATGATTTTTGTTGGGTAGAGGAAGCTTCCTTTTATAGGCACTTAGAACCCTAATTCTATCAATCCTTCATTCCCACTTTTCCTTTGCTTCTTTCCATTCACTCCCTTTTTGTGAAATGTCTTTAGCTAGAGCGGATGGGTCACAGGCTCTTTGGGGTTCCAAAGTTTTTGTGAGGCTGGACCTTTTTATGGGGATGAGGCGCCACCTACTTTTCTTCTTGGTTCACCATTAGAGCTCGCAGAGGAAATGAGAATGAATAGAGCTTTGCCTAATGGGTATTCTTCCAACACGTACGAATTCCCTTTGGTTTTTCTGATGGCTTGTGTTGGGTTTGTCTTTGGCCATGTGCTAGCGTCTCCTAGCAGCCTGAGCGTACAAACATCTCCTGGTTTTCTATTGTGGTTTTATTTCAAACCATATGCTGGAGATTTTTTTGGATATTTTCTAAGCCACTTGGGTTATTTGGGCCTTCTTAAGGTATTAGGTCATCTCTTCTAGAGTATTGAGCTTTTTTCTCTCCTTTATGCTTACTCACATATTTGGGCTTAAGAAATGGGTTTGAGTTTTGGGGCTCCCAAGCAGCCCAAAACTTTCATTTCTCGGCTCATCAATGGGCCTCATGAAAGTTCGTTACCATCCATACCACAACCCACTCGGCAAGCCCCGGGCATTTGTGTAGCTTGGGCCCAGTTAAGCTTGTAGCGTGGCTAGGTGTGAAATAATAATTTCCTGCTTGGCATGGCATGTAGATTGGCGTGCTTGAATTTTATTGTTTTTGAAAAGAGACATAATGCTTGACGGAATAATTAGCATGGGCTTGTAAATTAAGTGCCTTTTATAGGCTTATTTTAATTCTTTGCGTGATGGATTGCATATTTATTTGGCATGGCACGTGGTCGTGGCTCGTGCAAGCGTGCATGACGAATTTTGCGTGCTCCGAACCGGGTCCTTTCTTAATAAGGTGTCGCACAAGGCCAAGAATTTTTTTGGGCCCAACCCTGGATTTTTAGGCCTCAACAAATTCTAAAATAAATTTATTTATTTTTAAAAAAAAGCCTCTCGCATGCACAAAAGCGCATGCGGAGAGGCTAGTATATATAAAGCAAAAGGCAGAGAATGGTAAAATATTCAAAATACCAAAAAATGTCATTGGTTAATGCAAAATTAAGAATTAAAATTATTAACTAAATGAGGATAATATGGTAAATTCACACTTTGTCATATTAAAAAAAACTTAAAATTAAAAGAAAAATCAGATAATGGATCCTATTTTTATGGAACACAACAACCCATTATTTTTTTTAATTCTAAAATAAATTTAAAATTTTCTTTAAAAAAGCCTCTCGTAGTCGTGGAAGCGAGTGTGGAGAGGTTAGTTTGAGTTTAAAGCTCAAAAAAATCTGTTTGGTAGGCTTATTTTTTAAAATCTAAACTCAAAAATGCTCAAATACTTGAAAACAAATAAATAAATAAAAACTTTTTTAATATATATTTTTTCTATAAATTTTTTTTAAGTTGCATATTAAACAAGTTTTCAATTTTAGAAATGGTTATTGAAGCATATGTTACAACAACAAAAATTTAATGTGAATTTTAGAACTTCTTGCTTTAAAAAAAATAGAAGTTGAGGAGGAGCAACTCCTCAAAACAAATGGAGTTTTGACAAATTAAATTTATTTAAATATTTTTAACTTTTTTTTCTTTTGACACACTATATTAAACAAGTGTAAAAATGCCAATTGTTATGAGGACTCCTCCTCAATTTTAAGAAGCCAAGCAATGTTCTTAAAATAATATATTGCTATCGGCAAATTTTTTTAAATAATAGAATCAAGAGGAGCACTAAAAGCCATCTTCACCAAACCAAACAAACAAAGCACAGCTACAAGCACAGTAAAGAAACATCACATCACAATGTAATACTATCAAAGAAGACATTCTATGCTCACATAGTTCTTTGTACATTGTCAAACGCGTCATGAGTGTCAAAAACAGAACTAGAAGGAGCACTAAAAGCCATCTCCACCAAACCAGAAAAACAAAGCACAACTATAGGCCCAATAAAGAAACATCTCACCACAACGTAATACTGTCAAAGATGACCTTCTATGCTCGCATAGTTCTTTGAACAGTAAATGTGTCGTGAGCGTTAGACCATAGTCAATAGAAGTACCAACACACCATCTTCTTGTCTCTTAACCCATACCCCTAACCAATCCCCGAGAGGGGGGGGGATCAAGATTCGCCCCTTAGCATGACGAACGTCCAATAGAAGATCATTAGAGTAGGAACGTTTATTTAATGCTAAGCCCACAAACGTTCCAGCGAACACATCAGGGAGACCTAGGAGACCCCTTCAGGCTGATCTCCATCACCTTATCAACAAAACCTGTGATGTAAATTCTACGCTCACTAGAAGAATCTGTGAGCACAAGGAGTCGCCCAAAAAATTGCTCAAGAATAGTAAGGACTCCATCACCATCTTGATCCGTAATCCCCTTCATTGAAAAATCAAATGAACCTGTACAAAATGGGTACATAAATGGCACCTATTAACAAGATACTGCGCGACACAATTTTTTAACAGAAACATTTTCTGCACCACGCCACAACCCTTCAAAAGTCACCTTTTGCGTCAAGGCCATAGGCAGAAGCCTCTATATCTTACATAGGTGGATCAGGAGCCCAATCTAGATAAATAGGTCACGTCACCCATGTTGGTCTAGGACAACCGAATTTCCAAGTATAGCTCCAAATTTTTCCTTATTCGTAAGCACCAAACAACTCCCAAAAGAACACTCAATAACATGAAGGACTATATTCCCACCACGATTCGACATACTCATGATAGAGCACACATGGATCTTAGGAGGAAGAGACGATGAGATCCAAAGATGACAAGAAAACCAAGCGAAAATCCAACTAGAAAACCCAAACCAACATAGCCCTTATCGTAGATAACAACCCAGAGAACACCACCAGACCCAACACACCAGGAGGAAGACCAAGATACAATCAAAGAGTACAAATAGAGATGGAGCCGACAGATAAAAGACGAAACCCTAGCTGCTGGAGAAGTACAAATCCTTGTCGTCAAAAGCTCACATCGCAAAAAGCGAGAGAGGATCCTATTCATATCCTTTTATTTATTTTTATTTTTTTGGTAAGTGATGGGCGAAAAGCCCAAAGCCAAACAGTTACAAAATAATAGCACGAGGCCTCACAACGCTCCTAGCATCTGCAGCAAGTATATCTTCAAGGAAGTCATGCACCTCATCATAGACATGGAGCCCAGGGCCAAGATTATAACTTCTGGCAACCAAAGCATCTGCGACTACATTTTGTTCACGGTAGATATGCTTAATTATACAACACCAGGGTTCATGGATCTTCATTTTACAACAGGAAATGATGTTGTACAAAGGGTGAGTTAGAACCGTATGAGAAGATAACAGAGCTACAGTAGCATTAGAGTCACATTCAATCTCCACATCATGATAGCCAGCGTCCCAAGCCAAACTAAGCCCCTAAAAGATACCCTATAATTCAGCCTTAAGGATTGTACTTGCACCCAGATTCACAATAAAGTCTTGGATCCAAGCACCA